CTGATACAGCTGCTCAAAATGCTCAGCCCAATGTTCACGCACCCCAACATGATCTGAGATGATGCATCCATCCACTGAGCAACTACAATCACCTGCGGAGGGGCTTGGAGTTTTCTCAAGGCAGGACAAAGGTCATTTACTAGGATATGGCCTTCAGCTTTCACAGCAAGATTCCTAATGAACTATTCCTTATCCCTTTTCAGCAGTGCCCAAGCCCTGCACACCAGGGAAAGGCTCACTGCCATTCGGTTGAGCCATGCAACATCCACCTGCCTCCAATGTCTCCAGCGAGATGAAATTCTGCCTTTCCTTAGAGCATTCGCCAATGGACTCCTGTGCTGCATCGATTGTTTCATGTTTAAAGGAATTCCATAGAGCTACAGAGTCTGTCAGGCTTTCGAGCACTGTAAACCGATCAGAGACTGCCGGGGCGAATTTCTGTGCATACTCCTCCTACCTCAATCTGTCCAAGTGAAAAATCCTGGAGTGGCCGGTAAACCCAGCAGTTCTGTAACACATTCTCCAGCAATTGCTAACAAGAATGTGGTCGATCTCCTTGGCTTCAGAACCCATACTGCTACACCAAGTCCAGTGATGCATGATAGAGTGCTGATACCAGGAGCTAGAAAATTTCAATATCTCGGACCTAGCAGAGTCCCAGACTTCTCGCTATTGGGATGAGCTCCTGATCCATGGGGACTAACAGATAACTTGTAGCCAGCTCAATCACAATACAATGCAAATGTGTCGCTAGTGGCATTTGTCTGCCACACTTTGATATAGAATGCCTCTTTCTCAAATTCAGTCTCAATGCCATAATATGACTCCAACCGTCTTGAACCTTTGGTTCAAGACAGTTGGAGATGGCTATGGCTACTTCCTGTAGATAGTGAGCCTCACCCTGGCCCAACTAGTAGTAGGTGTATCCATCCATACTGATCAAGTCACCTGAACTCCCAACCACTTCAGTACCCTTGATGGCAGGGGCAGTTAATCATCTTGCTGTAAAGACCACATGTTTCAAGCTCCTCCCTAAATACCCTGCCTGAAGTTAAATCTCGGGCAGTTGCTTTGGGTGGATGCCACCTCTACCACCCCTGCCAATGTTGCCTCATATAAATGAGGGTGCCAGGCTGTTGTACCCAACCTCTGCTTTGCCCAACAGGCCTCACACTGGGTTTGTGGCTGCCAGTGTGCAGGTGGGACAATTAACTCCCATTTCCATCATGCACCCAAGCATTCGCTTTCCAAATGGGACCCACAGCCCGCCTCACTTGAGAGGGACAGTAACCTTCCCATCAGCATTTCCATTTATATGGTTTGGTGTCAGTGAGTTTGTATCTGGGGGAAGAGGACTGGCAAGGCCCACCTCCCCCAGGAGGTGCCTCCACCTCCTGGGGTCCCTCCGAGCAAGCCTCAATGCAGCATTCTTTCCCACCCCCAGCACATTTTGGCAGATCTGATCGACTTGCTTCAGCCATGAGTTCCGTGGCCTTCCCCTTGGTCTTCTCCAGCCTGGGTTAACCTTTTCGGTGATGACTCTATGAGCCGGATCTTCCTCAGAAAAATGAGCCACATGCCCATAGAGCTGAAGTTGGTGCTCTTGTATCAGACTGGTAATAGATCTTGAATCAGTCTCATGGATTATCCTCTGATTGGACACATGGTCCCTCCAGGTATACCCCATGATTCTGTGAAGACACTTAGTGCCATAGGAGTCAAGACGGCTTCAGAGCACTGTTCAGTGTCCAGTTCTCACACCCATAGAGATCACCACCAGGATCACCAGTGCTCTGAAGAGCCTTATCTTAGTTCTCCTAGTCAAATACCGACAGTGCCAAATACTCCTATTGAGTAAGTCCACAACGCCGTCGGCCAGTCAGAGTCGTCGAGTGACTTCCCAGTTGGAACACATAGTGAACATCGACATCCAATAAGTCCCCAAATTCCTGAACCTTGTTCTTTGTCCAGTTGACCGAGAGCCCCAATGGCTTTGCCTCCTCATGTAGTGCCTCGAGAGCTACTTCCAGGACCTCCAAAATCTCTGCTAAAATCACTGCATCATTGACAAAGTCAAGATCTGTGACCTTGAAATAACCAAGAGACCACCCTTCTCACCTCTTCAGTGGAAGGTGGTGCCTCACTGATTGGTGGGTCAGCCACTAGTGGTTGGGAGCCAGCCAACAGGAGTTGTGAAGACAGAGGATCTACCCTATACAGTTGCTCAAAGTACTCAGCCCAGCAGGCCCTATACTCACCCGGCTCAGACACAATGCGACCATCCTCTGCCCTCACCGAACCCAGTTGTGAGATGGATTTTGACCAGAGTTCCCTCAGGGCTCGGAAAGCAGGACGGAGGGCCTTTTTTGGGCAAAATGACATTCCAACTCTTCGACAATGCCCTAACGTACCTCTCTTGGTCCATTCTCAAAGAGGCCATAGCAGAGCGAGACAACTCTCTGTGTAAGACATGATTCCCATCTAGTCTGGCAGCACAACTCATCTCTATAATGTTCAGTGTCTCGTCCAAGACAACACGCCTGCTTAAAGGTATCCCACAGTTCAGCAGGGTCCTGTAGAGTGCCAAGCACTTCAAACCGATTTGAGACTGTCACTGTATACTCCTGAGCCACCTCCTCACTCTTGAGCCTCTCAAGATGGAAAATCTTCTGGTGAGATCTCGGGATGCGTTTAGATCTGAGGCAGAGCCTTGGTGTTGCAATAACAAGTCTGGTTGGTAGCAAAGAACTCAGCACTCCTAAAAACTCCACAGTTCTGAAGGATCCTCCAGTGAGTATCCACAAGAATATGGTCGATCTCATTTGCTACAACACCAGCATTGGAGTACCAAGTCCAGCAGTGTATATCTCGTCTCTGTTACCACGAGCCCGCAATCCTCAGCCTCCTAGATCTTGTGAAGTCTAAGAGTTATGAGCTATTGATGTTCCTAGTACCAGAGTCATAGGGACCGATGCATAGCTCGTATCCTTCCCTGTCAGTGCCAATGACAGCAATGAAGTCCCCCAAGACCATGAGGGTGTCCCCCTGGGGACATTGATCCACTATACTAGTCAAGTTTGGCGTAGAACATCTCTTTCTCTTCAAGCCCACTTCCCTCAGTAGGAGCGTAAACTGCCACTAGAGATATGAAGCCCAAAGTATGCTTCATTCTCACAAGCAGAATGCGCTCGTCAACAGGAGTAACCTTCTTTACTGAGGAACAGAAGCGGTCAGGGACAGCCACCGCGACTCCCGCACCATTGCTACAGCCAGACCAGTAGTAGGTATAACCCCCACTACTGGTCTCACCACTACCAGGCCGTCGCACCTCAGAGAGAGCAGTGATGGCAGTCCCCAGCCTCCCCAGCTCCCCTGACAACAAAGGCAGTCGATCGTCCTCCGAGAGACCGAGGATGTTCCAGGCCGCTACGCGGCACGCTTGCCGCAGATTGACCCCATTTGTGGGCCTCCGCCTCGGCACAATCAGACATGCCTCCCAAGGAGGAAGAGTGGGGTCGGGCCTTGCCTTGCTATTAACCCCAGGGGGCTGAAGAGCAGGTGTTAGTGTGGAGCTAGGGCATGTCCACAAACCAGTGGGCCATGTCTCCATACCTCTAGGGCATCCTGCAGCTCCGGGAAGCCACACAGTTGGATGAGCACGAGGAGGCAATGCAGAAATCTAGATGATAGAGAGCAACTGTAAGCGAGAAGGCTATCACACCATTGCTTCACATTACCGTGAGAATGAAGCACCCACCTATATATATATATATATATATATATATATATATATATATATATATATATATATATACACGTGTGTGTGCACACACACACACACACACACACACACACACACACACACACACACACACACACACACACACACACACACACACACACACACACACATATATATATATGGATGTATGTGTGTGCGTCTTTGTACAGGCGTCTGCACAAATTAATGTTAAATGGTATATATATAGATATAGATATAAATTCTTAGATATTTGTTCTCTCTTCCTTCCCTTTCTCTCTCCTTCTCTTTCCTTCCCCTCATCTTCCCTCACATAAAAGTCACATCCCTTTAATCCCGTCAAAGGAAACTCATAAAAGTTCAGGAGGGAAATCGTGAAAAATCACGCTGAATTAGGTCTGAAAAACTACGTCTTTATGCTAATTCTTTCATATCTAATACGGTCTCGACGCGAGGAATTGTTTTCCATTATTTTTTCCTTCTTCTTCATCGTCCTCGATTTTGGTTTCTTTTTCAAACACACAGACATACACTCCCAAACAAATGCATACATACACACATAACTACATATATACATACATACATAAACACATACATAGACACATACATACATACATACGTATACACACACACACGCGCGTGTGTGTGTGTGTGTGTGTGAGGATAAAGATAGAAAGATAATGAAAGAGATGGAGAGACACAAACATAACCGTATACACGCACAGAGAGAGAGAGAGAGAGAGAGAGAGAGAGAGAGAGAGAGAGAGAGAGAGAGAGAGAGAGAGAGAGAGAGAGAAAGAGAAAAGGTAAAGAGAGAAAGAGAAGATTGTCAGCGATAAGACCATCTTGTCTGAACGGAGAATTCAGTTATAATAAGCCAATAACTTACGATTTATTTAATCCGCGAAGGTTAGCATAGCAATGAATAGTACATTGAACATGATTATTACTTTTTGCAGGTACATTGCCCAGACACATCCAGTGCTATAGACACAGCACCCGCAACGCAGTGCCAGTCACATGGCAGTGCCAGCCGGTGCCTCGGAGCCAAACTTTGTGAAATTAAAATGCTTCCAAGCGTGAATTATTCAGGCGGGAATATTTGCAATTTTCCAACACTCTTGCATTATTCACTTGCGAGAGATCTCGCCACGCTCTGCAACAGGAGGACTCTGGTATACATGCACACATACACATGCACACACACACACACACACACACACACACACACACACACACA